GTAAATCTCTAAATTAGCCCATAAATGACGATGGATCATGTGAAATATAGTTCAAGGAAGAGATTATCAGCATATATGAATTATATCACTCATAAAAAATATTTTTTTTAAAAAGACTTTTTGAAGAAAAATAGTACGAACTCAATCCAAAATAAACCACATCATGCTATAAAAATGTTTTTTTGGGCTGTTTTTGTCCAAAAAATAAATTGAAATAAACATATTATCTTAATTTTTCTTGTAGATTGATGGCCATGTGGTGACCAATTTGTAACTCTCCATCTATGATCAATCTTGACTAGGAGATTCAAATCTTTTATGGTCCAAACTCCAGCATTCCATGTGTATTACCAACCCAATAATTATTTTTGGTACATTTTTATGCCATTTTTTCTTATAATAATAATACAGATGCTCAATTTTTAAAATTTATATATAAATATTTTGGTTGGCCAATATTTCGAGCAAATGCATACATTCTTCTGGATCCTATGTATCTTCCCCATTAATGCTATCATTGAACAAGATTTTGTGACAAAAAATATTTTTGTCATTTGAAAATTGCATTAATTTGTTCAATACAATTCTTAAGGTTATGAATATATATGTAATAATGCCTTCATTAAAAGAAAGGCTAGAACCATTATTTGAAAAGTCAACAATTTGGTTTTAAATAAGTATAACATTACGAAATACTTTGAACGGTCAAGATGGTAATTTGCAATTATTTATTTTTTAAATTACCGTTGAAATCAAATACAATTAGATTTTTTTATAACATGCATTCTGTATAACGATTAAGATTTTTTTGGAATCGATTTTTATGTTATGTCATATGTTTTTATGAAAATATTTACTATAGTTGCATTAGAAATTCAAATATACGACATTATCCAAAATAAAATAAAATAAATATATGGTAGATTGACCTTCTTTCTTCTAACAATTGTGATTCAGTTATTAGAGTGTACAAGATCCATATAAATAACTTATAATGGATCATAGATCAAATGTTATTTTTCGGGATTGTTATAATTGAAATATCTACGTGATGACCCTATAAATTTCAAACATGGAGTTTTATGCCTCTCCGTTTGAATAGCTTTTCACTCACTTGGTAGATACTTTTTCCCAACGTTATTTACATCAAATTAATACCATTTATTACATTTAATATGGTAAAATATATATTAATCAATTGTGATTAAATAAATAGTTATGTATTTCAACACATTACACACAGTATGCATTCATTAATTTGACGTAAACATGAGCAAAATAACTTTATGTGAAGAGTGGTTCAATGCACACTCTTCATTGAAAAATTATGTGATATCGAAGAGGTTTAATGTTAATATTACGAGTCAATATATTTAATGCACCCATATACAACCGATTTTTTCTCACACCTACTTTGCTAAATTTCTGACTCCATCACTAAATATAAATACATTGCGGAGATAGCTACCCCGTCTGAGTTCTTTATTTAAACGTAACGTTTTAGTGGTTTCTCCACTTTTTTGGAGGAAAACAAAAGGATTTCTTTTCTTAGTTGCGCATCGTTTACTTGAATTAATTTTCTTTGAAAGGAAACTTAGTGGTTATTGCTGCAAAAGCCATATAAAGTCAAACCATTCTTAAAAACTATTCAAAGTATTGATTTTTATTTTATTTTAGGTGAAAATAATTAATTAGTTCCAATATTTTTTATCGTCAATGCCCTTACGTGGAGGGAGATTATGTATAAAACGAATCCCACTAACATTCTTTATTTTCAAAATAAGTGGGCTAAATAAAATTGCTACTTTCACGGAGATCTCTTTTATAAAATTAAGAAAAATTACATGAATGTTGGAAAACTTAATATTTTTGGTAAACAACCAAACTAAACACCTGTAGGAACACATTTAACAAATAAATTAAGTGATGTCTGAAAAAAATAATTGGCTATTAGAAAATATGTCAAGTTAATACTAAAAAAATAATCATCGGGAAATTACCTTATCATTAACATTTGAGTTTTAAATATGTGAATGGAAACGAAATACTTTTTCCGAAAAGATGCAATTTGAAAACACATTTTCATATTGAAAAGTTGTGACTTTTTTTATAATGCATAATTTTTTATTATTTTAATAGTGTTTATATTGATTTAAACCAGCTAACATTAACTATAGTCATTTTTTATGTATAAAGGGTGTTATACTAAAATTATCTTTCTACTATTATTTATTGTTGAATTGTTTCTTTAAGAGTATGACAAGTCAATACTGGATAAACAAAAATGGAGAATATATAACCAAACAAGTTCTTGAAATTTTTTTTAAAAAATCTTTGTCCAAAGGGGCCCTTAATTACTGGCCCCTCAAACTTACATACAGCCGCGAAGCATCACAACGACTATTCAGCTGACCACTCTTCTTCTTTGTCTCTCTTTTTATTTCTCTCCATAAATATATCACAAATTCCAACAATTCTCATCGTGTGTGCCGACCATTTCTTCCTCCCATACCCCCACCCCACCCCCACCTCTCAAATCTATATAAACAGAGTGATACATTTGTTCCACCATGTTTGACTTGCCACAGATCTCTTAAACCAAGAACCAAATTCCCCTTCAAAAAGTGGCATTTACCACTTCTTGAGGTGCTCTGTTATTAACCCATTGTCAAAAAAGGTGTAATTTTTTTATCTCTTTTCAAGATTTTAAGCTATGAAGAAAAACAGAGGTTTTAGAATTGGACGGAGATTGGTGAGAGTTTTCAGCTGGTTAATTCACCGGAGAAGAAACGGAAGAATTGGAAACAAGCGGCTGAGTTGTGCAAGCAGAGCAATTTCAAAGCTCTGTAAATTGGGGCTTTTGCTGAAACAGAGAGCTAAAGGACTGTGTTCTGGGAAATCCAATTCGGGTTACATTCGGGTCGGGCAAGAACCGATTGATCTGAAGCAGGTGAGTGTACCGAAGGGACACTTGGCTGTATACGTGGGTGAGAAGGAAGACGACACGTGTAGAATTGTGGTGCCTGTGATATACTTTAATCATCCTCTGTTTGCTGAATTGTTGAGGGAGGCAGAGATGGTTTATGGGTATAATTATCTGGGTCGGATCCAAATACCATGCCGGATATCCGAATTCGAGAACGTTAAATCAAGAATCGCCGCCATGGGTGGTGGTGGAGAGCTGAGGTGGAAGCAGAGTTACTGATGAGTTGTGGCTGAGTCAACATTGGAGAAAATTGTAATGTGCAAATAGCATAACCCTCCATCACTGGCCTTGTGTTGGGGAGGTTTAGTTTATGTTAGTAGTTTTTTTCTATTATTATATTTTAAGAACGACTGTTTATGCATTGAGTTTTTGCTATGTTTCACATAATGTCAAATGTTCTTTGTATCTATTCTAGTTTTTCTCTTAAAATATCACAAAGCAATACTTTTTTACAAATTAAAGTTCTGGATATGCGATTGCATCTTCACAAATGTCTATTTTATCGAGCTTTCTTTCGAAAATATAATATCTAGATCGTGGGTGAAATTGACTCTCCAAAAAAGAATCAGCGACTCGTACACAGTAGATTGGTTAAGAAAACCTCTCTAGAATCACATCATCATCATTTAGAAATTGATTAATCAATAAAGAGACATGTACGTGATGAATATTGTGTAATCCTAGAAAGTGTTTAGGGTTTGGTTAATTAAGACTTAAAAAAAAGAGTCTATTTAATGCCTTCTTTTTTGTCATTTTGTTATGTTAGACTCAATAGTGTCTAAACATTATTTTCATTAGATGGTATTTGTGGAGGTCTATCTTTGTTACGTTTCATCACCTATCGTGATATATAAAACAACAAAAAATTAGTACAATCATTTTTTTACCCATTTGAGCCTCTTATTTTGATTTCTCGACTTATTCAAATGTCGATTTCTCGAATTATTCAAATGTCGGTATGGAGTAGATATATCTTTTCCCTATAGTACAAGAAGATTGAAAAAGACACCCCTATTTTCACCCTTACCTTAAAGGTACTACTTTGCTATCATCAAAACGAATTTTATGTGCTTTAGTTTTCATATCGCAAAAAACTACACTAAAGAGATCGAATAATTAAAAAGTATATAGTATATTACACATTATATCACATGTGCGTATGGAAGGGATTAGTGTGGACGTCCACTTCTACAGCATAAATTAAAGAATCTTCCTTCAAATAAATGAATATCAGACCATATCCCTACAAATCAGATATTCTTACGTTGTTTTCACTACTAATTCAGAAGTTGAGAATATTTAATTAGAGTAGTTAGTTGATACTTTTACATGTTTAATATTATCGACAATTCCCACATTCGATGTTGAGTTTAATTAATCTTTGAGGCCACCAAACTAATGTGTGTTCCAAATTGTTATATGTAATACCAAAATCAACCACAAGTATATATGGTGATCCATGTTGCATTTGATGGCTTAGTACTGAATTTATTGATATATATAATATAAAAAACCGAACTGTACCATTGACACGCCTAGCGTTCATACACCACTTAATCCGTCAACACAATTAAATAGGAGTAGCATATATTCAGCATCACATGACCTTATAAAACAGGGAAGTTCTCTTATTATGGTCCAAGAAGAAAAAAATCGGTTGCATTAGAACAAGTCAAAAGGTCGACTTTTGGACCAATAAAGAAAAAAAAATGTGACGTTGAATTTCATAAAATTGATTTTTTGATTGTTTCAAGTAGCTAAAAAAACCTTTAAATTTCTTTTCACATTAGTTAAATTCGATTTAGACCGACGGAATTGACGACATTACCCAACAACCAGAGCATTATTATATGACTAGCATCGAAGAGTACTATTGTACAGGAGTTGTACACAACTAACTCAAAAGGAAAAGCATATAGTGACCTAAATTACAATCTTACAAGCATATTTTGTTGTAGCTAGGCAACTCTTGTGCAGTCTGTATGATAAAAACAAGACTACTCTTGAGTCATCATCAAGCGCTAAAGCCTCGGTTCGCAGCGCTATACTCCTCTATATGTCCATTGCAAGCAGCCATAAAAGCTTCCTCCATAGCATCTCTTGAGATACCATTGTTGCAAATGTTTGCAAATGCTCTCATGTGTTTCATGCCATATTGTGTCAGCGAACCACAATGTGCCTCGAAAAGGCGAACCTGGCAAGAAAAAACAATATCAAGTATGTCTACAGGAATTCCAAAGTCATTGAATTTGACAAGCATTTACTACACTTGAATCAGATTATTTTACCGTTGATTTTAGGCATTCCCAATCATCGACGAGAGGTAGACCAGGTTTTCGGACAGAGCTGAGAACAGAACCACCCTTTATTGGACCGAAAAGAAACACTCCAACTGCATCTATGCTCCCATCAAGATGTTGCCTATGCTGCAGTGTCTCAGTAATCTCTTTCCGAAGCTTGGCCTTCTCGAGTGAATTGTCTTCCAGCTTCTTATACTGTATAGACCAAGAATACATGTACCAAGACCAAATCAAAATGATATACCACCAAGCAGAACTATAAAACAGGTGCTCATAGTATTTCAAGTTTTGGGGTGGGGGATTCTAAATTCGAACAATATCCCACAGGTGAATTCGTAGCGTTCAAATTCCAATTCAAGCTCTAGTTCAATAAAAAGTGTCAGCTAATCTTATAATCTGGATTTAACATAAAAATATCAGGGAACTAGTGAGCTACCATACAAAAGAATGCTTCCACTTCAAGAGTGTCATCGGATAAAACAAAACATAAATGTAACTGTAGTCACTAGACAAACTTGTACCTCTCCATCCCACTCTATATGACTGACCAAACATTTCTACTTTGATGAGTTTTAATCCATCTCCTACTCGAATGTATAATGAAATTACTCAATTATTATACAAAGATATTCAAAACTTACTCTTTCCCATAAGAAGAGAAGATCAGCATCCCTCTGATTGACCACCTCCAATTGTGCGAAATTGATCTTGTTCGCAGGAAGATTCACGGTGGCAGGGTCAAATCCTTGGTACAGGTAAACTTTCTCGGGCTTAATTTTTTTGCTTCCATATTCCATAACATGAGATCCAGCATTATAGTTGTTGGAGTTGGAAGTTCTTTCCTTCACCTACAAGACAATATAGCATTAACATCCAATGATGATGACGACTCACAAAATATGTTGCTCAAACTCTTCAATAATACCACCAGATGCGTTTCGTATCCTCCAAAAATAGTGGGTGACACGCATATTTGAAAAGTTCGAACAACATAGCTCATAAGAATATATTAGATGCGCCAAATAAAAGTCTTGGTTTATTCACCTTCTCGTATTGCTGTTTTATTGTTTCCTTCTTCAGGTTATGAGACTCGCTGAAAACAAGTTAAACATTCGAGTAATCATCAGCAAACCAACAGAGTAAAACTTGATAAGCCTGCTTTACCCTTGAGCCACCAAGCAAACCATTAGCTTGCTTGATTCTTTAGTATAACGTGGACACATTGGTTTTATAACTATAATTTCCCAAATACTACTACTTATCAATCGAGCAATCGTTTACTTTACATTACCTGTCCTCCATCCATGCAACACTATACAAGTCTCCCAAACATGTGATATATTCTGATGGAGGTGGAGGATCCATTCCTGGGCAATATGTCCCCCAACTGCTTTCTTCAGCGTTTGAGGCTGTCGTCACATAAATGTTCAAGTTTTCAGGCATTAAACCCTCGAAGACACTACCGCTCTCACAAGCTTCAATATAGAGGACCTACATAAAGCACAACAAACTAAATAATTCTGATAGGAAATGGAACTATCAAGTTTATAAATGTAAAATATATTGCACTTTTTACCATCTCTTTGTAGGTCCCAGCTGAGTATTTTTTCTTCAAGACCTCAATTAAATCTTTGCCATAAAGGTAAGGCATGTTGGGCATTCCTGAAACAAAGATAAACTCCTAGTACCAAAATGTGTTCCGATCAATTGTCAATAGCTGAAACTCAAATATAATTACAGACTCACCAAGCACCCCTGGACCACCATGATCGGAGTAATACAAAAATATCCTGTCATTCGGTCCACTATTGACGACCTTCCCGCTTCCACCTTTCACGGCACTTTTATCACCAAGAAGCACAGCATACAAGTTTGCTGCAGTGACGTGCTCACCGGTATAGTCCTACAATAATCATCTTATCAAATGTGAGATTGCTGTTTGCTAATAGAAAGAGATGAATGTACCCTTCAAAATTAATCAATTCCGCAAAATAATGCAGAAGTACAAGAACCAAGCTTCATAGTTTTATAAAATAGTTCACCACCTATCTTGTGTTTCCACATTTCAATTTGCTCCTATCACGTACCAAGATAATCTTCGTAGTCTAATTAGCTTTGATCAAGAAACTAAAATCATAGACAAAGTACATACTAACCAATTCGATTTGGTAAGAGTCCAAAAAAAGTTTCACTTCACCTACTAGACTGGTACCGATTAAAGAATCTCATTACTGTGTCATATAGGGAAAAAAAAAACACGAGCTCCCAAATAAAGGTATCATATATACCATATTCAAGTCCAGGGTATCAAATTATCTAAGCAGTTCACAGCCTCTGCATCTCCTAGTAGAGCTATATTTCTAATTTGAGGTTCAGTGTTCTACTAAAGAAACCTCAAAGGAACTAGAGGCACAACATTTTTCAATGGAGAAATGAAATGTTATGACTAATCGCATATGCTACGACAGGACAGAAGATCTTACATTTGGGAAGTTGTCAAATTACATTTGGGACTTCGGTTAAAATTAAGAGCATATGCACTATGTATGAAAGGATACAACAATAAGATATAACATTTGGTTATTACCTTAGGCACACCGGCATAGACATCACTACCATTTGGATGATTGATTATTACTCCTGGTCTAGGATTCAACTCGCTCTTGGCAATGTCATTGTACATGAATACTACTATGTTCTCATCTTTCAATCCACCTCTTTTCAAGATTTGGTAGGCATGACATACATCTGCCTGCATTCACCCATATAGCTTCAAAGCAATTAGCAGAGTAAAATAAAAAATAAATAGCTAAATGCCTAAACTTGATTAGTAATGGCAGCTGCATCTTTCTCCAAGGATATACATACCAACTCCCAATTTGCATAAAACAAGTAGAGTTGGCTGTATATCATCAATTCATGAGATTTCATTTCCACAAGAACAGCAGTGGTACGTTTCAACAAGGCATAATATATAAACGTGGCCTTTAACTTAGTCTAATAAGGTGGCGCACACATCCTACCTCACAATTTGACTGGTAGGACGCGTGCGTCTCCCGGATTTTCCTTGTGTCTGGTTAATTAAGTTGGAAAACACTTCTACCCATAGAACATCAATGTGAGCTTGGCCCAATTTTCAATAAGTGCCTTCTGAAAAAGAGTTTCAACTACTCATCATTTACTCCTGATGCTACTCAAAAAGCTCCTAATTTTCCTCCTAAAAGCTTATCAAACGGTTGAAAGAAGAAAATAAAAGCAACATTTTTTACTTGCCAAAAGTATTAATTTGATTAACATCCAAACCACACCGGATTAGACGAATCCATATTTTCTAAATACTAATGTCAATTCTCTTCCAATCACAATGGTGAAAACGGTAAATAAATGGCACCTCAACCTAATTCAAACCCAAAGCTAGCTCATGAAGGGAGGTTTATCCAAGTCCATATAAGGAGACTAATTTCTCATGCCTCTACCGAAGTGCGACTTCTCAACAAAAACACACTTACATACATTAATTTTTTCTACTATAGAATCTGCTGCATGTAAGGGGGTGTATATTACCTGATGCCGATAATTTCCATATCCATTTGAACCAGCCACAAGAACCGCCCACCGCACGCCGCCACCGTCTTCCTCCGTTTCATCATCAGCACGATCTACCGGCGATCGTATCAAGGGGTCCCAGAAGCGGTGGGCTCTACCTAACCTTGTATCAATTTTTGGTTCAAAAGAAATAGCCCCCACCATAACCAACAACATCAAGGCTACACATACTGTAAAATTACAGGACCCCATCAAAACTAAAATTTTGTTGATTGAAAAAAAGGTGAAGAAACAGAGGAGCTGAGAATTAGTGAAGTATTGGGTTTTGTTATGTATGTGGCGGTGTGTGTATACATGCAGAAGCAGAGTGTGACACCTATCAACCATGTGGAACCAATAATACCAGGTGTTGGTGTACCCACAACATGAAAGCAGTATTTCATAATTTGTTAATCTTTGCGTTCTAATTTCTGCGTTACCGACTAATCTCAACATTACTAATACTAATCTCTACGTTGTTAATCCCAAACTTCTCTTGGAACCAAACCAAATGATTTAGACCTCATTTGTTAGGTTATTGAGTGTATTTCATTTATATTATTATTAATTAAAAAAATCATATTTAATTTGAATAGGTCGTCATCATTAAAATTTTGAATAAAATCTTAATATCATTAACATTATTTTTGTGTGGATTTTTTTTTATTATTACTATGTTTATGATTATTAGTTAGTATTATGGATAGTTACTTTTTGTCATCATAATTACAGTCACCATTACCAACCACCTCTATCATCACAATCATTACTGACAACCATCATCACACTTTTAATCATTATTATTCGTCGCTACTACATTAAAGATAATTATAGTCATATCGCTACATTCACCACCACTGCACCATTGCCGTCAATCCTCCACACCAACAACCACCGCTACAATTAGCAATGTCATGACCAACTATCATCGAATATCTCCTTGACAAAATATGAAGTACTTAGGCCTAAAATCTATAGAAAACGAATATTGTACTAATAATGGTACTATATTTGTTAGTCATTATTAAAACGGAAAAGGCTCAAAAATACCCCTGAACTATCGGAAATAGCTCACATATACCCTTAAACTATATTCTGGCTCAAAAATACCCTTCCGTTAAAGTATTGGGTCACAAATAGCCTTACTATTAACAGAGATGTGTTAAGTGCCATGTGGACGCCACGTGAACGCCACATGGACGCCACGTCGATGCCACATAAGCACCAAACAACTCTCACCTCCACATAGACCCATACATCCTAAGTATTAATTTTGCCCTCATTTCTTTTGGGACATACAATTTGACCCACTCTCATTTCTCTAAAACTAGTTGTTTAGCAAATAGCCCATTGATGCACCTGTCATGTTAGGGACCTTTATGTCCCACGCGTTCCCTTTAAATATGAGTAGTAACTTTTTCCCTTATATATAACTAAAATTTCTTAAATTTATCATGATATTTTATTTAGACAATTGAATTAAAACTTATTTCAATTAAATATATCTCAATTACTAATAAACTATTTTAGTTAGATATTTTCAAATTAAATTTTAGAAAACCTTTTTTCAAGTCAAATTTTGTACATTTTTTTATGTTAGGACTATATTTTTATTTGTCTATTAAATAGTTAAATTAACTATATAAAATATATATCATTTACTCTCATTATACCATTTGCCTCAAGAAGATGTAAATTTTCACACATTTTTATTAAAGCTAATCTATATAATTAAAAGAAAAAATAAACTTTACGTGATTAATTTAACTATATAATTGACAAATAAGAATCCGCATCAATCTTTATTAGAAATTAAGATGTATAATTGAACATAAATTAATTTAAATATCTAAATACAATATTCTAATAAATTGAGGAAACTAACAACGTTAAGTCTTAGTTTTTCAACTTTTTTTTTATTCGACACATTTACAACCTACTCATATCCAATCCATTAATCGTATACGATGAGGGCAAATTAATACTTAGGATGTATGGGTTTGGAGATTTATAGTGATGAAATCAGCTGGGTAAGTATTGTTTGCGTGTATGCCGCCGACTTTCGCGACGGCGAGGATGACGTATTGAGGTTTCTCGTCGGCGAAGAAGGATTCGACGGCAGATTGGTTAGTGAAATCGAGATCGGAATGTGTACGGAGGATGAGATTTGTGCAGCCTAATTGGTGAAGTTTCCGAACCACGGCGGATCCGACGAGTCCACGGTGGCCGGCGACGAAGATCTTAGCGGAAGTATCTATTGGCATTTTTTGTGTGTGGACTCAGATTTCTGTGTGCAATGAGATATACAAATAAATGTGCATTAACAATATTTAGAAATGAGAGTGGGTCAAATTGTATGTCCCAAAAGATGAGGGAAAAATTAATACTTAGGATGTATGGGTCTATGTGGAGGTGAGAGTTGTTTGGTGCTTATGTGGCATCGACGTGGCGTCCATGTGGCGTTCACATGGCGTCCACATGGCACTTAACACACCTCTGTTAATAGTAAGGGTATTTGTGACCCAATACTTTAACGGAAGGGTATTTTTGAGCCAAAATATAGTTTAAGGGTATATGTGAGCTATTTCCGATAGTTCAAGGGTATTTTTGAGCCTTTTCCGTTATTAAAATATAAGGGATTTAGGGTAGATGAATCTAAATGAGAGACTAGTTGAATCCATTTATTTGTAAATTGTACCAATAATGCTTGTTAGCTTGTTGGTCTTCCTAATTAAGGTAGTGTTTCAGTACTCGAGTTTCATGTGTGTTTTGCCTAAGCAAGACTTGAAACTACTCTACAACATTTTGAAATTACAAAGTTTGAAGATATAGGTCTTTCATTGAAGAAGAAAAACAGTCTTTATTACATATAATATATATCAACTAAATGAAAAATAGTAAATTTCTTAATCTCTTGTAGCATTTTATTGTCAATGTTGGTATAAATATTTGTGCAACACAACATTGATGTCGATGAAATGAGCTGTTACATCTCTCAAATTTTAATTTAGTTGTCAAAGTGGTTCAAACAACTTCTAAGATTGTGCTATGAGGTATCATGTGACTCGAAATATTTTTATTTTGGGTGAGGCACTATTAACAAAAATTGTGTGAGTATTTCTTCTTGACAAGTGTCGTCGCAGTGGCGGAGCTACTTTGAGGGGTGTCGACTGATATTACTTCGTTGAAAATTTACACTATATAATTTGATAAAAATAATTTGTTTATATATATATTACATATTGGTACCTTTTTCTTTTTTTTTAAGTGATTTTATTTCTTTTATATTTTAATATTTCTTGAGTAAAATTCTATCTCCGTTACTACACTATGAGACCTATTATCTCTTTTTATTCGCTCATCACTCAACACAATGTGCATGCTCAATGACGTAGTCGTACATAGTTTAAGATGATCAGTTGGACATCATTCATCGAAAAATTATACTGTGTATATAGAAAATTGTACAAAATATATAGCTCAAAAATTATTTTTCATATACATATATTAAATCTTGAACATTCATAACAAAATTTTTGACTTCACCACGTCAAGTTTGTGAGTCACATAAAATATTTCACGATAGGAGCATGCACATTGTGTTGCCTTGTTTCTTAATTTTGTTTTGTAATTTTCTACTTTTCATTGATAACTGTTACTTTTAAGCACATCTTTAGGCCAATTTCCGCAAGAAATAGCTCAACAAAGGATATATTCGATATGTAGGAAAATATTTTTGCCTATACTGACTCGACACTCTTCTTAAGATATTATTACATATTAGAAATTTATTTTCCTAGATTAATTTTATTAATAAATGTTATAAAAATATAAATTTGACGACTAACATTTTATATAGTTTTTAAATGATAAGGACTAAGGAGGATATTGAAAGAAAATGATAAAAAAAAATTGATTTGTAAAAAAGTAGACAAGTAAAAAGAAAAAAATATTTTAAATATAAGAATTAAGTAAAATAAAATAGAGAGGGTATTATAAATATCAAAAAACTTTAAAAATCTAGATTTGATCATAAACGTTTTTATATAATTATTTATTAATATGAAACGATCAGAGTATTATTATAAATACAAAAAAGAAACCAAAAATTGAGCTATTGGGTGCACAAATTTCTTGTTTGAAGAGACCTTGTCTAGATCTTGTTAAAATTATATCTAGCAACTAGCAAACATGTTATACCAATTCCATAGCTATGGATGTCTCCACATTTAAAGTTGAGTGACCAGTGTTACGTTTGTTGCAAGTTAAAGAGGCAAGGTAGTAATAGTAATCATAATATTTGTACTTGATGCACACAATTGCAATAAAATGGCTCTCATGCCACCCTAAGAGGAAGCACCATCACTTTCAAACCCCTAGGTGATTTGGAGCTGTATTTCTAACTTCTAAAAAATTCCAAGCCTTCAATTTCACCTAACACACTTGTCTGATCGTTCATCTGGTAGAGTGTATAAAAATAATACAAAATAATATATATTTGTAATGTTTGTATTAGTAGTGCTTATATTAGTTATACATAGAATATTTTTATTGCAATATTGTTTGATTTGATCGTTTGGTAGAGTGTATAAAAATAATGTTCAATAAAGTAATATTGGTAATATATACATAAATAATGATTGTATTAGTTATGCATAGATTGTTTCGTATGCATCATTTGGTTTGGTGTATACAAATAATATGTACCGTATAAAAATGTTTTCTTATAAAAATCTCCTCCATAATTATGGTGGAAATATGTAAAATTGCTTTTGAGGGGTAATTGAGTTTTTAACCATGCTAATGCATGTAATAAATCCCTTTGCATTAATTTACTCATATCTAGAAATCTATGGTATTAGTAATATACTCTCTATTACACAATAGAGTCTTGCATCAGTTATACATAGCATAAAAAAGTGCACCAAACAAAGTTATACTAATGCATAAAATTAATGTGTGCATTATATTTGTTAATACACTCTATCAAACGATCCCTTAAAATTGTGTCAAGTGAAATTGAAGAGTTGAAATTTTCAAACTTAGAGCCATACGATAGATACAAATCCAATTGAACAAGAATCGTATTAAAAATCTATTTGTATCTTCAAAAAATCGCAAATTACAAACACAATTATTATTGTAAAAATTCAAGAGCTAAGTGTCAGTAATTTTTGTTTTAAAAAATCCAATCAAATTCTGTTATGATTCATGTTGTCTCACCTATAAGGGATGATCATCGTCAAATCTATGTCTTCAT